TAACCAAAAATTAGACAATAGTAATAGTGCTTAGTGTAACATCTCGTCGTCTTTGTGTTAATAGCTAGTTACATAAAATCACTTTTACTACGTGTTGATTTACCTCTAGTTAATTATTCATTAGAAAGATAATAAAGATCATTTGCATAGTCGAAAGGAGATTGTAACTGAATACTCAAAGGTTTCAAAAAAACTTTCTAATAATGAGCATTTTCTTAAAAAAGTGAGTACTTTTGTCCGATCCCATTAGAGATGTTTTATTGATTTTCCAAAAAAAACTAAATTCATAACTTCGTTTGTTTTTCACTTTCATTAGTCACTCTCTGTGGCAACTACAAATGCAACACCACCATTAAATTCTACAGCATTTTCTCTAATGACATCAACAAGTTTATCAACATCATCTCAAACAGTTAATCAACGTGAACAACGTCTTCGTCAATTAATATCAAAATGTTATGTACGATTAGGTACATGGCAACATGAATTATTCGGTATGACAGATGATATTATATTAGCTGAAATAATGAAAGACTATGAACATGCTTGGACATACGATGATTCAAATTATAAAGCATGGAATGCTTATGCTGTACTTAACTATGATGCTGTTAGTTATTTTAAACAACGTATACAAGATCTATCACGTAGTAGTCAACAGCAACAACAGCAACAACAACAACAACAAACTCCACCATCTCCATCAACACTTATTGTTGATTCTTTAGCATCGCCACCTCGACAACAACAACAACAACCTCAACTAATTCCACCACCTCCGCCACCAGTACCACAACAACAACAACAACAAAATATTGATGCATCAAATGATGCTTATCGAATGTTAACAGCAAAAATGATACATTGTACAATACCAGCTGTTAAAGGTCTATTTAAATCTATTGTACTTTCAAAAGCTAAACATTGTTTACAAAATACTCTTCGTTTATTAACACTTTGGTTTGAATATGGACAATATCGCGAAGTATATGAAGCTATTACTGAAGGCAATCGAACAGTACCTGTTGAAGTTTGGTTACATGTATTACCACAATTAATTGCACGTATTGATTCTCCAAGACCATTAGTTCATCAATTAATACGTCATTTACTTATTGATGTTGGCCGACAACATCCACAAGCATTAATTTATCCATTAGTTGTTGCATCAAAATCCGTTGTTCGTGAACGTGAAGTTGCAGCTAATCGTGTATTAAATAACATGAGAGAACATAGTCATACACTTGTACAACAAGCATTAGTTGTAAGTGAAGAATTAATTCGAATATCTATATTATGGCATGAAAAATGGCATGAAGGTTTAGAAGAAGCATCAAGACAATATTTTGGAGATAGAAGTATACCAGGTATATATGAAATCTTTTTTTTAGCCTATTTTGTGAAATACAAGGCCTAAAAAAGAGTGTTCAACTAATGGGGTAAACATTTTGATCACATTCCGCCATAGTTATTATGTATGAGTTACTTCCTTGTTGTATTTCTGGAGAAGAATGATGAAGAAATGTGTCTAAAAAAAGATAGAATAAAACAATCTTTCTCTGATCTTATTGACAGAATAATATCTGGAAATTATATCTTTACTAGTCATTTATTTCATCTGAATTAATAATCAGTTTCATAGAATTTAAAACAAAAAGAAATTTCGATTCACACGATGAACAGTAAAATGGAGTCTTTTGATTAAATTTTTCTTTTTAACATACAGTAGATAACCGTATGCTAGGGAAAAAAACGAAAACAAAATTTAAGCTAGTATTTAAAAAAAATAGTACATGTTGAATAGAATGATGCATATTTGATGTGTAAAAATAAACTATCATAGATATGATGTACAGAGAACAGCAGAGCAATACATATGTAAATGAAGATTTACATGTAGACAAATTGGTCATAATCTCAACAAAATCAAGATCAAAACTGGAGCTAAGACAACTAACCTTGTTCATGTTTAATTAAGCATCCAAAAGGAAGGAAATTTACGACTAAATGAATCTCAGTAAAGCGGAAAGTTATTGCCAAAAAAAATTTTATTAAGACTGACACCAGAACTGAACTCTTTTCTTCACCAAAATTCGAGCAAAACCCGGCATTGACTTTACTATAACTATAAAAGTATATGAAAGGACTCAATTATTAAAACGAACTTTTCTATAAAAATCTCTCTGTATTTTTATTTTGTTAATTTTCAATAAAAATTACTCTATGACTATGTCTTTTTTTTTTGTATCAGGCATGATTGAAACATTAGAACCATTACATGCAGCAATTGAACGTGGAAGTACAACTCTAAATGAACGTACATTTCTTGATTCATATAGCAATGATTTAAATCAAGCTCATGAATGTATTCGTCGTTTTCAACGAACAAAAGATCAACGTGAATTACATCAAGCATGGGATCTTTATCATCAAGTATTCAAACGTATTCATGCTCAATTACCAAATATAACATCTCTTGAATTAGATTATGTGTCGCCACGTAAGAAAACTTTCCGACGGATACGCCAGAATAAATATCTTAATATTCGTACTAACGTTTATTGCTAAGCCATAATCTTTGCTTTTTTTGGAAAAAAATTCATGATACAGGGCTATACAAGATTAGCAAAGTGGGCATACTTTAAACAAAAAAAATGAGTCAATGTAACTCAGCTTTATGCCAATTTCAAGAGTCACGAATAGAGCATCAGACTGAAATGTCAGAATTTAAATAAAGCTTTTTATTTAAATACATAGCGTAAAATAAGAAAAATTCTTGAAGTTTTCTGCTTAGTTTTAAGAAAGCAATATTTTCAGTAAAATACTTGATTAAAATGAACTATACTGTATATCATGAAAAAGAATGAAGCTAGTTATACTTCTAAACATACTGTGTTAGGAAGCTGTGGGTTCATATTTTTGCGGATCCAGAGCTGGATCCGAAAAACAACTTTTGAGAATTGAGCTTCTTCGAGCCTCGCAGTATTATTTATCTGCTTAACATTTTGTAATGAAACTTTTGATATGTTTTTATAGAGAATTGTATTTTGATGATTTCTTTGTGAAGACTAAAGTTTAGCAATAAACGTTGACTGAAATGTCAAAAAAGTATCCAGATGAACATTTACTCTGGCGCATGCGTTAGACAAGAAAATTTTAATTTTAATTTACAGGTTTAGCAACACATTGTCGTGACTTAGAATTAGCTGTACCAGGCACTTATGAGCCATATAAACCACCAATAACAATTCGAAATGTTCAATCACATATAACAGTTATAACATCGAAACAACGACCAAGAAAAATTAGTATAACAGGTTCAGATGGATATGAATATGTATTTTTACTTAAAGGACATGAAGATTTACGACAAGATGAACGTGTTATGCAATTATTTGGTTTAGTTAATGAATTTTTATCAGCTAATGATGAAACACGTCGTCGAAATTTTATTATTCAACGTTATCCAGTTATACCATTAGCACCAAATAATGGTTTACTTGGTTGGGTTGCTCAATGTGATACATTTCATGCATTAATAAAAGAACATCGTGAAAAAGCACGTATTATGCTTAATGCTGAACATCGTAATATGCAAGGAAAAGCTCCACATTATGATCAATTACCATTAATAAATAAAGTTGAAGTATTTGAATATGCATTAAATTTATTAGAAGGTGATGATTTAGCTAAAATTTTATGGCATAAAAGTTCAAGTGCAGAAATATGGTTAGATAGAAGATCAAATTATACAAGATCATTAGCAGTTATGTCTATGGTAAGAAAGACTTCTTTGTTCTTTTTTTTTCTTATTGAAATTTAAAATTTTATAAATTTTTTTAGGTTGGTTATATCTTAGGTTTAGGTGATCGTCATCCATCCAATTTAATGCTTGATCGTGCAAGTGGAAAAGTCGTTCATATAGATTTTGGTGATTGTTTTGAAGTAGCTATGACAAGAGAAAAATTTCCTGAAAAAATTCCGTTTCGTTTAACACGTATGTTACGTAAAGCAATGGAAGTTACAGGCATTGATGGTACATTTCGTATGACATGTGAACATGTTATGGATGTATTAAGAAAAAATCGTGATAGTCTTATGGCTGTATTAGAAGCATTTGTTCATGATCCATTACTTAATTGGCGTTTATTAGAAAATAATAATAATGAACAAACTCCTGGTATATCAACAACAAGTAATCGTTCACCACAAACAGGTCAACAACAACAACCACATTATCAACCACATTTATCAACTGTTAATGAAGAAGATAATGAACATGAAAGCACACTTGGTGGTGGAACACAACAACAACAAAATGTTCAACAAGTTGTTACACAACCTGGTAGAACAATACGAGCTGTAGAAATAATGAATCGTGTACGAGAAAAATTAACTGGAAGTGATTTTCATCGTGAACAACCTGTTGATATTCCAACACAAGTTGAACTACTTATTAAACAGGCAACCAGTCATGAAAATCTTTGCCAGTATGTTTCTTTTTCTTCTTCTTTTTTTATTAGTTTATTTGATTGGTTTTTTTTTGTTTTCTTCTTTTAGATCTTACATTGGTTGGTGCCCATTTTGGTAAATAATAATATGTATTATTTTTTTTTCTTTCCAGTGAGCTATTGATGTTGTGTGCGATTTTATTTGTAAATATATTTTTTTTTGCTACACAAGAATAAAAAATCTTTCAATCGATTTATTTGATTTGAATTTATTTTACTTTTGATTTACATTTTTTTTTATCGAGGCTATGCTATGTTTTTCTTTTGGGCGGTTTAAAAAAAAAAGATGATGAAAGAGTAGAGTGCTTTTTTTATTTTGTATTTTTTATCGATGTATACAGACAAGCGAGAGATTGGCGCGCATACACGGTGTTTCTTTTTTTTTTACGTTTATTTTGTCGAATGTCTGTGATCGAATGAAGCAAAAGGAAAAATAAATATTAATAGTCAATATGTACAAACGATTTGAATGAATGGCAGTAAAAATCTTTAAGAACCACTTTTAAACAGTAAAATTGATAGTGGACCTTTTGTTAAATAAATAAATCCATTCATTTCATGTGTTACATATGAACTAAATTGTTTTCCAACAATGCAATGCCAACATGATGAAAATGCTTTATCAGCTGATCGTTTAAGAAAACCAGCTAATTCACGTTGACTACTTAAATCATATTTTCGAAATGCTGAACGAACTAATTGAATCATTTCTTGTTCATATGCAGCTGATAAGTCAGTTGATTTTACTATTAAATCATCATCATAAATATCACGTTGTATTCTTGGTTGTCCATATGTATTGTTATTTAGGCCAGATCGTGTTGTTGAATTATAAATTGATGACTGTGATCGATATAGTTGATTTTGTTCATTCAGTAAATCATCATATGAATGTGCTCGACCATTTCCAACTGAATTATTTGAACGAAATATTTCATTCTCACCAGTATATGAACGATAAGATGTTGATGGATATTTATTTAGATTAAAATCATTTGAAGTTGTATTATAAGTACTTGTATATTTGTTAGTTGGTGTAGCTGCACGTATAGGAATTGATGTTACAGGTGAAGCAGAATTTGAATATGTTGTATTAAAACGTCTTGAAAGCATACTGCCATCATTCATTGTCTGATAGGAATTATATTTGTTTTGGTTTGAAGGTTGATCTTGATAATTTGTCGATCCTACTCCGAATGTTGATGTTCGAACAGGTGAAGATGATGAATAGGTAGATGTGTACATATCAGAATGAGACGGTTTGTTGCCTATTTTACATATATATATATGTTCTCCTTTTCTTTCTTCGTGTTCTTTTACTTCTCTCTCTGCTTAATTTGCGTATAAAAAAACAAGAGAAAAATGAAGCGTTTGTTGCCGTAGTCGGTCGAATCCAGTAGACATTAAAAAATTTCAAATATTGGATATAAGTTTAATTGCATATTTTCAATCGATTTAATGTATTTTATATCTAGTATAAGCCGAGAATATTAGAATTACAATGACAATAAATATATGAACGAGACGAGAGCAAAAAAGAAGGAAGGTAACGGTGTCGGTGAAATGGTCTCTTTTTTTTTCTTCTTACAGACAGTCAAGGAATCGAGACAACAAGGCGAAAAAAGAGAATCTCCTTTCTTTCTTTCTCATTCTGTTTCTCGGTTGACAGTTGTAGAAGAAGAAGAAGAGAAAAAAAAGAAATCACCACCAAATATTAAAAAAAAAAACATTTTTTTTACAAAGATGGATTGAGACACGTAGCACCTTGCCTTGCTCAATTTATAAATATACGATACTCATATAAAAGTTGAATGTAATATACATGCTTACTCGTACTTAGACTTGAGTATGTGCTTGATTAATATAAAGTCTATGTTCTATTTTGTACAAAAACAATCCTCTTATGCATATAAATTAAAATGAATTACTGAAACAGAACAAAAGCTCGATTGTCTATGTGTATTATTTTACTACTCGATGTACAGGTCTACCTTTCACATATGTTTATCCATAATGACAATCACCTGGATATGTTTATATATATATATATGCACGAGAACAGGGCCAATAAAAAGAATCGGAAAGAGTATCTTAATCATTATTAGTGAGTCCTACGAACATATGTTACCCTACTAGTAACCATATACATATGGTGTTTAATTGTTATATATCAAGGATATATCATCTTCTATTGTCAATGTTGATCAAATGATTTTCTATACTTGAAATATATTATTTATTGATACAAAATATGATAAATTTTATTCAAATTTCATTCTTCTTTCAATACTCTATTGAAATCTATCGTATGTTTATTTATTTCTCAAAGTCATCTTATGATAATGACCATGCAAGTCTTCATCAATCATCACATCTGTCGCAAACTATTGAATGAGCACTATCTTTTTTTCTTCTATCTGTTCAAATTCTTATGTAATATTAGAAAAAGAAAACGAGAACGAAAGAAAAAAAGATTAAAAGAGAACTTCATTCATTTGCATGTCATTTTCACATTGGATTATGATTGTACAAAATAACCTTGACACAATGTATCGAGATTTTAAAAAAAAATACATTTATATATACATATATACATAAGCATTACACGCCTACATTCTATTTGACAAGTGTACCTGCATACGCTGTAAAGTGTTATATTACACGAGCACTGGTCGCATCCATCGACATATATATACATATACATATGTCGATTGTCAGCATATGTATGACACTAATCCATTGAACTAGACATATGTAAACTGTTTGATCATATTGATCGCTTCAACTGTCTCTATAATAATAAGATTTAAAAAAATATATTAGTTTGTAAATGTGAATGTTACTAAAATCTAAGCCTTAATAAGATTTCTTTTTCAATAGATTGTAATAGGCTCTTAAGAAGAAATAGTTTAAGTGTATGCCAAAAATATGTGTATGAAACTTAAAAGATCTATAACCGATCATAAAATTTATTTATATTCATGAAGAATTTTTAGATAATAATATAAACTCAACAAAAATACATTAGATATTTTGATAGTTAGTGAATTATGACTTCACTGTGAGAATTTACTGATATTTAAAAAAGAAAAAATTATTCTTTGATTCATCAATACAACATAAAACATTACGACAATTTCTTATTTCATTGTAAATTCACTTTCGATCATTAAGATAATCATTTATCATTAAAACAAAACCACACATAACTACAACTGACAAATCGACTGATAGAATACTATTAACAATACTGAATAGAGAATAAATTGAAATATTTCATTAGTATAATTCCATTTGATTGATATTATATTATTTCTTCCATCATAATAACATGTATTATTCTTTTGGGAAGCGAACAATTGTCCCTATGGACAGATACACGCTATGCAAGTTTTTATAAGAATTCTGAATAAAATATCGAAACGTCATTATGCAATGAATTAATTTCTTATGAGAGAATGACCATTATCATAAGCTGATTGATTTAGTGGACTAATATCTGTCAAATTGATGGTTCAAATATAATGACAAGTTGTATTCAATGAAATACATACATATTATATAAACCGCAAAGAATAACAGAATGACCTCAGAAGAAATAATTATGTCAGTTACAATATCAAAAACCTCTAAAAATGTACCTTGATCACTATACAACGACTATTCATACATAGTTGACTAGAAAAATGACATAGAAATTCTTTGAAAATGTGAATATTCTAGAAAATATGCGTATCATGGATGAGGGTGTGAGTTGGTCATGGATAAAAATAAGATCCACAACCTTCGTGAACAAGTGCCAAAACGAGCTAACGTCCTACACCCATTCTTATCTATTTAAAAAAGAATACTTTCAAAAGTGAACCTTTGTATTAATATAACTTCTTA